TMTCTTTTATCAAATTTCTTTGGTTTTATTTGTAATTTTATAGTTTAAATAAATTAATATACTCATTGATTAATAGGAAATTAAGTATATTTATGTATTACATGTACAATATAAAATAAATTTCAATTAAATTATATAATATCTCAATTTACTTTTAATATTTCGAATGAATTATTATGAATAATATCTATTATCTTGAATACAAAATTTTAAAGCAACATTTTTTTAACGTTCAGCTTACCTTTGGTATTTTTTTTTCTTAAAAACATATAATTTGATAATATGATAAATGAATTTCAACCCATATAACATTAATTATATAATTGTATTTTTTTAAAAATATTAAAGTTGAAAATGAAATTTATATTCAATATTAATTACTTTTAAAAGAGTTATATTAATATGAACTCTACCTGATAACATACAGAGTAGTGCGTTAAAGAGAATAAACTATCGCATCAGCCTGCATTAAACATKGGAAAGGTGCTTAATTCCGAAAGCGCTTTGTTTTTAAACTAGAATGGAAAAGGGAAGCATAAATAGGATAGTAGGTGTAGGTCCGAAAGCTATTAGCTTTAGCAGACACAACTAGTTAACTAAAGAAATTTTATTCCCATTCCTCATACAAGAGTAACGTACATACACAATATTTTACATATATTTATTCTCCAACTTAGGAATATATAGCATGGTATTATACAGACCCAAACATAACAAGTGCATATACACAGTACATGCATTATTATTTAAACATAGAATTAAAAGCATATAGTAAAACCCCAATCAATGTTCTTCAATCATGCCTGAGCAGCAACTTCCATCAGATGAGCATCGATATCTTTAGAGACAGCAGCAACAAACTCAAGCATGCTATGAGAATCTTTAATCTCASKGTGCAGTTTCTCGTATTCTAAAGTCCAATGAACAACACTTCCCTTTTCCTTTGGAACACATTGGATTATAAACTTGAAGCTCTTAAATTCCTTCAAAAGGTCCCCCWCGATCACTTTGAAAGTTATGGAATTTTTCTCTTCGTCAACTGCTTCCACTATATCTTTTGCCACTGAATTCTTCCCATCTATCSGAGGAATATAAGAAAAATAGAATTGGATGGTTCCAACATGACARAAYAAGATTTTTATTTTTGTTAGAAAAGCTTTGGAAACGGAAACAGAGAAAATAAAAAGCTTGGGGTGTGCTGGGCTAATGATAAAGAATAGAAATTTGGAAACATGGATTCAATGGAAAAGGCAAAGTAAATAATTGTTCTAACTTGTGTTTAATATTATATTTGAATACTAGTGTTTGAACTAAATATTTAGTTCARTATAAAATAATATTAATTAATTTATTAACATTTTTGTTATGAATTTTATATAATATTTTATTTTACATCGTTATAATATAASAAACTATATTTTGCATGTTTTAATTTTAATAAAAATAAAATAAATTTATAACAGAACTAATATGTTTATCAAAATTTTTATATTTTTTAATATAATTCTTCATCTTAAAATTTCAAATTCTAAATTTACAAATCTGCTATACTTGCGAAACACATAGTTACTGAATCCATTTTGATTTCGTGAATCTGAAAACAATCAACAAAATCCAGAAGAAAATGTTAAGGACAACGGTACCCTACGTATCTCCACAATGGTATGATATTGTCCGCTTTGGACATAGCCCTCACGGTTTTGCTTTTTTTTTCACCTAAAAGGCCTCATATCAATGGAGATAATTGCCCTCTCTTATATACCCATGATCATTCCCTTCTCTAGCCAATGTGAGATTTTGTTTGCAATCACCTTACAAATCCAACAGAAAGATACATAAATAGTTTTCAAATGCTTATATATTTCTTAAGAAAACTGAAAACAATAAACAATAAACGTTACCGAACAGTTAAAGAATTTAGAATAGAGAAAAAACCAACCGAGAAAGTAGTTCCAACAGACGATAGAGCCAACTTTTCCCCATTCACCATCATGAAGCTCCACGCCTGGTATTTTGTCGGTGGAGACATTGGAGATATGGTGAGGTCTTTGGTGAAATATTTCATGAAACTGTGAAGCTGAAGCATTGATTGGTACATCCATCGCCAACTTTCCACAGAGATTATTCATCGTTTTTCTTGGCTTTATGTTGTTAGGAGTTTTTAAGACAAGAAGGATAGAATAATATAAAGCAATGCCATGAATATCTCCTCTTGGACTTATTTATAGAGAGGGTTTACTCTCACATGGTGTAATAATGGATGCCATTGGGTGTGGGATTTTACATTTTTGTCCATTAATAACTTTCCAATTATAACTTAAAGGTATAGGTAAATAATTATAATACTATAATACTGTTAATTATGTGACCAAAAAATTAAGATAGATAAATAAAAGTACTTAATTTAGAGAGGTGATACAACATAATTATAAAAAGTGCATTTGGACGACCAAGAAGAAGCAACTATTTTGATGTATTCCGAAAGATGAGCTAATTAAGACTTCTATTAAAGAGTCAAAGTACTGAAAATTTTATTGAGAAGTATGAGGAATATTTTTTCGAAAAAAATAAACAATGTGGTATATCGTGTAAGGATTCCAAATAAGTTAAGGACCTAACAAAGTTTTAAAATAGATATAGGTTAATTCTCTCTTCTTACCAATTGTTTTTTAATATTTAAATTTAAATTTAAATTTTGCAATGTTTAAAGAAGTTGATAATTTGGAGATTAATTGTCTCAGGTACTTTTTTTTCTTTTTTATAGTTGTCGTGAACAAAAATTCTGAATCCATCCGTTAAATTAATAATGTGACCATGTGGTTTATGCATCATATAATATAATATAAGATATAACAAAGAGATTTGATTTCACATTTTAATTTTTAGTGTATAAATATATAATTTCATCATAATTTAAAATGGATACTACGACTAGAAGAAGAGATGGCCGACATGTCGAGGTGGAAGAGATGATGCACTTTGGCTTGCCTTTCACTCACCCCATCATAAATTCTTCCAAACTAGCATAATTAGTAACAAGTAATAACAACAATGAATTTTATATTTCCTCTAATGAATTGGTTGAAATCTTTTTACTCCCATTTATTTTAGTTTCCTTTTAAAAAAATAAAAATAATAAAGTGTTTTCAAGAGAATGTTTGTTTTTGTTTTTCTCTTTTAATTTTTAAATTTTGCTGTTAATTTTTTTTTAATGACTATAATGAACAGAAACCTTGATGTAGGCACATCTCTTACCTCTTCTATACATTTATCTAATTAATAAAATGCATGTCTATATAGACATATATTTTAAACAACTTATAATAAGTTAGATATCGGGTTCTTTAATTAAAAGTTTGGTGTCTTATGAAATTTATAACGAGAGTTAAAATGATAAGGGCTCAAATAGTTTTTTTTTCCTATAAAATAATTAAAATAAAGTACATTTTAAATTGGAAAGTGCTCGGGACCTTGAAATATCATCTACACTGAAGTCTTAAATTCGAGCCATGCGCTGGTTACATTGTTGCTCAATCTAGACAATGAAAATATTGGTTCTATGAATTCACTACCGTAAGCTGCACAACATCAATTATGTAAAAAAAAGACGACTAAAACAAAAAGTTGACGACCTCCTATCTTACGCTACATCAATTCTGAAAAAAAAACGACTAAAACAAAAAGTTGGCTGACCTCCTCTCTATTAAGGTGCGCTTCCGCTACATCAATTCTGAGAAAAAAAAAAAGGAAAAAAGACGACTAGAAGTTAGAACAAAAAGTTGACCCTCCTCTCTATTAAGGTGCCAATAACCTCTCCTCTATTAAGTAATTTATAACTACGCCTCAAGTAATAAGAACTAAAATTTCATTCGTATAAAAAGTACTATATTTTTTCAAATTCCCCTATTACTAAGAAATTTGCTACGGTTATATGGAAGTCAAACTCGAGAACGACATCGATTATATAGACAATGATGTAAAACCTTTTGTACTATGGWWYTACTTTCAAAAGGGATAAAATACGTGTAGTATATACTTTTGTACGATGATTTGATATCAAGAGTCACCATTATGTACATACATGTACAAGCTTTTGGTATATATAAAATAATATTATATAAAACTTTTCCAACTCTAAATATTTAGAAGTGGTGTTCAGAAGTTAATTATTTTAAGAATATTTTTCCAATACCAAGTAATTTGATAGCTAGTGTCTTTTATTTTCTTAAAAAAAAAAAACACTCCCTCATTCCAAGCCCACGTTTTTCATCAATGGCCACTAACAAATACTGTCATTTTCATGGCCAATTAATTTCCCCATTCACTTGAAAGAAGCCATTTCTTTTTCCAATCTTCACAAAGTCAATAATGGAGAACTTTCCACTACTTGGGTTTGCTTTTCGTTTTTCCATTTTGCAATTCATATAAAGTTGTTGAATCTTTTTGGTCAAGTTATACTAAGGGAGCTAAGCAAGTACATCCGTACGTGATGAATAAACACTCAGATACTAAAATTAATCTAAAACTTGAGTTAGTAGGTTGGTTTCAAATAGAATACTGGACTGAGTACGATATTTACACAAATTCAAGGGAGACCATTTTGTTATAACGTTAAAAGATCAGTTTGTTACATGGTTATTGGTAGTTCCATTTAGTGGTTTATCATCTGTGATCTCAGAGGTACGAGCTACGTAGATCGACGGATACTCAAAGCTAAGTGTTGGTACCGAGTTGGGTAGCTCGATACAAATTAGATCACTGATAAGTAGGAGATTGAAGCGGTCCTTTTCTATTGGTCCACGTGGCAGACCATATTTTGTCGATCAATTAATTTCCTCCATTCACTTGAAAGCAGCCATTCCTTTTTCCAAAACTTCACAAAGTGAATAATGTAGAACTTTCCACTACTTGGGGGCCGGCTTTTCCTCTTTCCATTTTGCAATTCATATAAGGTTGGTGAAAAGGAAAGAGTTAACTAAAGAACAAAAGAACACCGAGACATGAAAGGATGCTCCAAGGATGACCAATGCTGTTACACCCACCGCCTCGTCCACGTCCTCGTCCTCATCCTCCTGTTGTCTGTTGAGTTTCAATAATGCCGTCACCATAGTTGGTAGCTCGATGACTCCATGCAACGGTTCGATATCGGAGTGCTATGCAGAGGAAGAGACGTTAATRGAGTCGGAGATAAGTCGGAGGTTTCTTGAACAGCAAAAGAAGTACATATCATATGATGCTCGGAAGAAGGATCAACCAGCTTGTAAAGGAGGCAAAGGCAAACCTTATACTGAAAGTGAAAGCTGCCTTCCTCCTCCATCTAATCCTTATGACAGAGGCTGTAGTCTGATATATCGATGCAAGTCTTAGTCTTAAGCTGTCCAACTTTCACTCACATGACCTTTTTCTTTTTTCTCTTTTTCTTTTCTTCAAGAAGGTTTTTCAATTTAATCCCTTACCTGTCAGCCAATGTAAGATTGATCAATGATAAACTTACATGGCAAAATACTTGGCGAAATTGGCGAAGTCTAGGTTTAGGATAAAAAAGTCTTCCGAATAAAAGAAAGTTTCTAATTCATTTTCAAAATTTCAAAGAAATTGGTAGAATTTTCAGTGTTCTTTTTTTTTATTGATATTTTTTCGTATTTAAATTTCCACCAATTCATTAAGTATACGCGAGGTAAGTTTATCATCAATCAATTTTACCAACCAACGATAATGAGAGGCTAAATTAAAACTTTTTAACTTTGTAAGAAATCAAGATTAAATGGAAAAGCACCCCAACATTTGGGACTAAAGCACATATTCGGCCTTTTATTTGTAATAGATTCACAATAACATACTTTATTATATATATATCATAAATTTGACTACTATAAAGTTTTAACTCCACCAAACGTAACCATGAAGTTAAGTAAATTGTAAAATTAATATATTAAATTAGTTGACTCTTTTTTCCTTTTTAAGAATTGTGGTTAATTTTGACGTTTTCGGTTGTACACGACTATTTCTCTGAGTATCAATTCGTTTGCTTGTGTTTGATATTTTTTTAGGCAATTTCTATGTAGTTTTTTCTTTTTAATTATAAAGTTTTTCTATATTAGCTTGATATGGAGTACTTTATTTTGGCTGAATTTGGAGTGATTTGTTGTTTTATTTATTTATTTATTTTTGTGAAGAATCACCTGATTTTCTTCAAAAGATCAGTTTGAATTTAATCACTGAAAAAATTGAAAAGAAAATCACACGTATATTCACACTCCAAGCACTGAAATTTTTGTTACAGAATCGTTAGTTACACAAACAATTTATCTAGCACGTAGGAAATATGAAGAAAAGGAAAGTATCAGTCATTTCAATGACTGATATAATTGCTATGCAATCAAGGGAATAAATCCAATGAATATAAGGAAAGACTTCCACAATATCAGCATGATTTTGGAAAAAATCACTCCAGCGACTGGGAGAAAATAACATCAATAATGCGCTGTAATTGGCCAACATTGTAAAGAAAAAGCCAGCCTGTGTTGCCTAGTTATTGTTGTCATTAAGGTTGCTATAATTTTGGTGTCGATGGTCTACTGTTATTTGTTTGAATATGAGGAAGTGTATTTTGTTGATCTTTTACATCCTTTCTCAAACTGGAGGTAGGGATTTCGCGAACTCCAAATTTGCTTGATAATTCATGAAAGGTAGCTTTTGCGAGAGGTTTAACTAAAAATGTCGGCAAGTTGATTGTGTGAAGGAACATATCGTGTTACCAAGGATCCTAACGCTACTTTTTCTTGGACAAAATGGTATTCAAGCTCAATATGTTTGGACCTATCATGAAACACTGGATTGCTGGACATGTGAATTGCATTCATGTTGTCACAATATAATTCTGGTGGTTTGAGTGGAGGCAATCCTAGCTCGCAGAAAAGGAATGTAATCTATGTGAGTTTGGCTGTTGCATTAGCCATTGTTCGATATTCTGCTTCTGAACTTGATCTAGAGACTGTTGGTTGCTTCTTTGAGGACAATGAAATGAGATTAGCGCCAACGAATACACAATATCCAGAGGTGCTCCTTCGTGTAACTGGACATCCACCCCAATCTGCATCACAAAATGCATATAAATTGATTGAGCTATTTTTAAAGAAAGTAATTACATGATGCAAAGTCTTTTTGAGATATCTAAGTACTCGTTTTACTTCCCTTAGATGCTTCAATTGAGGTTGTTGCATATGTTGACAGGTTTTGTTGATCGCATGGACAATGTCGGGCCTAGCGAGGGTGAGATATTGAAGTGATCCAACCAAACTCCTATAGAAAGTAGGATCAACATATTCTTCATCCTTGGGAGTATGATTTTGGCTTATTGCCAAAGGAGTAGAGATAGGAGATGCATCTATCATTTCTGACTTCATAAGTATATTTTTTATATACTTGCTTTGAGTAATGTGATAACCATCTTGGACATGATGAACTTCAATGCCAAGAAAATAATGAAGTTGGCCTAGATCCTTGATAGCAAATTCTGTGCCAAGTTGTTCAATAAGATTCTTGACAAAGTTTGAGTTATTCCCTGTGACTATAATATCATCCACATAAATCAACATGAGAGTAATAATTGTACTACGAAGAAAGATGGATCAGATTTGTTGCAAGTGAATCCTATGTGTAGTAAGAAATGAGAGAGCCTATCAAACCAAGTTCTAGGGGCTTGTTTGAGTCCATAGATAGCCTTGTTTAGTTTGCAAACATAATAAAGAAAAGTAGGGTCCGAAAAAGTTGGTGGTTGCGTCATATAGACATTTTCGTTGAGGTGTCCATGAAGGAAGGCGTTTTTCACATCCAATTGTCTGAGATCCCAATTGTAAGAGGCTGCAAGTGCAAGAGCAAATCGAATGGTGGTTGGTTTTACAACTGGCCTGAAAGTTCCTGTGTAGTCAAGTCCAACCACTTGTGAATATCCTTGAGCCACCAATTGAGCGTCTTCCTTGAATTTTGTTTTAAAAATTCATTTGCATCCCACGATATTTGTGTTTTCTGGTTTACTTACAAGTTCCCATGTGTTATTGTCATAGAGTGCTTGTAGCTCTTCCTCCATTGTCATTATCCAAATAGGTAATTTAAGAGCAATTTTGAAGTTCTTTGGTTCACCTACTTGGACTGCACTTAGTAGGGAGATTTGCTGATGTTTTCCATTTGCAGCTTGTTCCTTAGATTTTAGCCTAGTAATAATTGGATGAATAGATGATTGTTGCTCAGATGTCAAAGGATTTCGGATGGTATTTGTAGGCTCTTCAATTTGAGTGGAATCCATTGACTGATTTTGATTACAAATATTGGGGAAAGCAGCTGCATTTAGAGAAGTATCTGCATCACCAAAAGTTAGATCAACAAATAAAGAATCACTAATATCAGGTAAGGAAGAAAATGGATCAATATTTTGTGTTTCCAATGTGAAACCAGTGGAATGAGGAAGGTCACTGCAATTTCTTATTTGTTCTTGTATTGAAGCATGAAGTTGAGGGAAATGTTGTTCATCAATGTTTCTAATTTCAACTTGCTGGGATTGATGGTTTACTTGTCCATTATTATCATCTACCTCTCCCAAATCATCATGGTCTTTTTATTATGCTCAGCGTCTTTTGAGGTTGATTCAAGAGATTGGTTTGCAGTTGGTGCAGTGGGCTGGTGCCAATCAACAGTCTCTGCAAAACTAGTGATATCTAGGGATTGACATTCATGAGACTTGGTTATTGACGAAATAGTAAAGGGAAGTAATTCTTCATCAAATATAACATGCCTTGAGATGTATATTTTGTTTGTTTCAGGATCTAAGCATCTATATCCATTATGAGAAGTAGTATAACAAACAAACACACACGGATAAGTTTTCTTTGTTTTGATTTTTCAAATAAGGATATCACCTACATCCAAAAACTTTTAAGTTGTTGTAGTTAGGATTCTTATGAAATAGAGTTTCAAATGGAGTTTTCATATTTAAAGAGGAAGATGTCATTCTATTTATTAGAAAAACAGCCGTTAGAAAGCTATCTACCCAATACTTAAGAGGCATATTAGCTTGGAAAAGTAAAGCCAAACTCGTTTCTACTATATGCCTATGCTTCCTTTCAGCTACACCATTTTATTGTGGAGTGTGAGGGTAAGACATTTGATGATGAGTCCCACTTTTCTCCATGAGTTGTTTGAGCTTCAATAAAGTAAACTCTCCTCCACCATTTGTTTGAAACACTTTAATTTTTCTTTCAAATTGTGTTTCAACCATAGTTTGAAATTTAAAGAAACATTCATATAACTCATATTTTCTTTTTAATGGAAATAACCATGTGAATCTAGAATGATCATCTATAAAACTTGCATAATACTTAAACCTTTTGCATGAAAGAGTAGGGGAAGGTCCCCATAGATCGCAATGTACTTTATCAAAAGGAAATAAACTCAATTCATTACTAAAAGTAAAAGGTAATTTGCAACTTTTGCTTAGTTGACAAACTTCACAAATAGTAGTCTTTTGTTTCCAATAAGAGACAGAAATCAAATATTTGTTACTAAGTTGTTTAACAACAGCTTCATTTAGGTGGCCTAAACGTTTGTGCCATAAAGAGTAAGACTGTTTATTCAAATTTGTAGCAGCAAACACTTGCAGCAGGAGTTCTTTGTGGTTCCAATGCATATAGACCTTCTTTCTTAATTCCCTTGGCTAATAATTGTGCGTGTTTGTTCTTCACAAAAAAATCATTTGAGTCAAACAAAATTGAACAATCATTGTCATGTGTAAGCTTGCTAACAGATATAAGATTCTTTTTTATATTAGGAACAACTAGGACATTTCTTAACTCTAAATCATTATCAAAGGTATTTAATTTTCCTTGGCCAATATGAGTTATTTCCAGATCTTCTCCATTGCCTACAAATAAATTTTCTTGACCTTTATACATATAAGAGGTAGATACCTTACCTAAATCATTAACAATGTGAGAAGTGGCAGCAGAATCTGCATACAAGTTTGGATCTCCAACTTTTGTTAGTGCAGCAAGGGCTTTTGGAATTTCTTCATGTTGGTATGAATGATCAAACCCGTTCCAACACTTCAAAGCTGTATGGTTAGCTTTGCCACATATTTGACAGGATATGATTTTACCTTCATTTGGATCTTGAGGTGTAAAATGTTGTATTTTTCCAGAGCCAGAGGAGACATAATTGGGTGAGGAAAAACCAAATGGAGTAGTATGTGTAGGTGCAGAGCTTCTCCCTCTTCCTCTTCCTTTAGAATTAAAAATGTCCTCCTCTTCCTCTTCCTCTCCCTCTTTGGCTAAAATATGCTTGATTTGCATCAGGGAGTGAGATTTTTACGTCTTCAGCTTCAACATTGTTCATCTGTTGATGTGCTTTCAATGCTAAAATAAATTGGTTAAATGTGGGATAGGGAGCCTTTGATAACATGGCTGTCCTAAATTCCTTATACTGATTTTCCAATCCTCGTGCTAACGTAAATACCTTGCTTACTCATCCATTGGTTTCTTCATTGCAGCTAACTTATCACACAGGGCTTTAAATTTCTTGATATAATCTTCAAGAGACATATTTCCCTTTTTAAGGCAATGCAAAGACTCACTTATATGAATTTCATTTTCTTTTGTAATTGCAAGGAGTGTTCCTCTGAAGATTTCCATACCTGGTGGGCTGATTCCAAACCTTCAATCATTGCAAGGACTTCCTCTGAAACGATTCCAAGTAACCAAGAGGTTAGCAATCCATTATCATTGTTGGTTATTTCTGCATTAGGTGGACCATCATTGATCAAGTGATTATCAACTCCAAGACTTCTCACAAGTGGAAGGACTTGAGATTTCCACAACAAATAGTTTCTGGTGCTAAGTTTGATAGAAATTAGGCTAGAACATTGGTGGAAAGATTGAATTGTAAGAGCAATTTCAGTTTTGGCCATGTGAAAGGGTGCTGGAAAGCAAATTGGAGTCGGATTCTTCTTCACCTACGTGCTAAGCTCTAATACCATGAAAAAATTGAAAAGAAATCGCAGGTATATTCACACTCCAAGCACTGAAATTTTTGTTACAGAATCATTAGTTACACAAACAATTTATCTAGCACGTAGGAAACATGAAGAAAAAGAAAGTAAATGACTGATATAATTGCTATGCAATCAAGGGAATAAATCCAATGAATATAAGGAAAGGCTTCCACAATATCTGATTTTGGAAAAAATCACTCCAACGGCAGGGAGAAAATAACATCAATAATGGGCTGTAATTGGCCAGCATTTGTAAAGAAAAAGCCAGCCGATATATGTTGCCTAGTTATTGCTGTCATTAAGGTTGCTATAATTTTGGTGTTGATGATCTACTGTTATTTGTTTGAATATGAGAATCACCTGTTCATTTTTGAACTGATATAGTTTGATGCAATGGTTTTTTGGAAAGAAAATACCACACAATCTCATTGAAAAAGTATTACGAGAAACAATACACGATTAGGAGGATAAGTAAAAGTATTTAGTTTAGAGAGATGTGTGATATATTGTAAATACAAAAAAGGTTGATTTAGATACTCTAATGTCATCTCGAAGATGAACTGCTGATCTAAAGATATTCGAGAATAGTCGATTTTTGTTTCTTTTCAACTAAATATATCTCATCAACCATCTACAACTATTTACTAAATCTTTGTAATCACGATCCATTTGATAACCGTTTTTATTTTTGTTTTCGATTTTTTAAAATTTAGCTTATCAACCTTATGTTCATTATATACATTTTTCTTTATTCTGTTACCTACTTTTAAGAACGTTTAAAATCCTTAAAACATAAAAGAAGGCTTAAAAAAAGGCGAAGAATTAATTCAAATATATATTTTTAAGAAGGGTGAATGAAATTGCTCCAATAAAAGAGAAAAGAGAAAGAGAAGGTGCATGAAAAACACTTGCTAAATAAATTGAGAGGAAGAAGATATTATTTTTGAAAACAGAAAACTAAAAACGAAAGAGAATTAAATGAAAACAACATCAAATTAGTTTTATATCGTTTCTGGAAGAAGAATATTCTTCTAAAGTAATTGATTGATTGGGATCACTTTGCAATCGTTTTACAATAATTGTCCTTTGGTTTTTAGATTTATAAAAACATTTGATAACCAATTTAATTTTTTGTTTTTTGTTTTTCATAAGTCATTTTGAAATTCTATTTAAATTTAAAAAATAAAAATAAAAAACATATTTGTGTTTTTTAAAATCTGATTTTTTTCTAATATCAATTTTTTTTCTTTCTCGTATTTATTTCTAAAAATTCATTTCTCACTCTAAATTTTTCTTTATTTCTAATTTTCTTTCTACAAAATTTATTCTTCTCTTTCTAAAATTTTCATATTTTGAATATTTATTATTATTTGTCTCTCTCCAAAATTTTTCATCTCTACGTATTTTTATTTTTATTTTTTTTCTGACAAATCTCTGTCTAAAAATTTAATATTTTTTCGAACATTTTTCTCTCTAAAATTTTTGTCTTTTATAACTTTTCTTTCTCTAAAAATTATATCTTCTTTTCTCGTTCAGTTTTTTTTCTACTCTAACTTTTATTTATCTCTGTATTTATTTATTTTCTCTAAAAATTATATTTTGAATCTTGTTTTTATCTCTAAATTTTTTTCCACTGTAATTTTTCTCTTTCTTTATATTTAGAAAAGAAAAATCATTTCATTGAGAGGGTATGTGAGAAGCATACAAAAGAAGGAGACTATATAAAAGCGCTCCAAGTTAGCGACATGGTAGATAAATTATAATTACAAAAAGGGTGAGATTCTGAGGACCAACAAGTTGATGCCAAGACTTTAATATCCTCCCAAAGTTGAGCAAAAGAGCGATATTTGTCCAAAAAAGATCAGTTGTTTCTTTTCAGCCAAACACTCCAAAGAACAACATCAATAATACCATCTTTCCAAAGAATGGATCTACTGCTTTTAGATGACGGGTAGAGAGTCTCCGTGACGGAAAGCTCAATATGCCCAGGGAGAGCAGAGGGAAGATTGAAAGAGAAAAATAGATTATTCCACAATGTAGCTGTGAAAGAATAATGGAGCAGCAAATGATCTAATGTTTCGCCCTAGCATTTGCATAAAACGCACCAATTTAGACTGATATTCGGAGATGGAAATTTGATCTGCATCTTATCAAATGTGTTAATACCATGGTGGAAGACGCACAATAGAAAAAACTGCATTTTTTAGGAAGATATAAACTCCACAGCTTAGCAAAGGTAGCAGAAATTGGAGCAGAGGAAGGGTAAGCAAGCTTAGATTTTATGGACTTTACTGAAAATATACAATCTCTGGATTGAAGCCAGAAAGGTTTGTACGAATCCATTAGAGTCAGAAGGCACGCAAAAAGTTGCTGAGATGTTATCTCACAAAATATGCTCTCTCTCGAAAAGAACTCTTCGGGTAATTTTTCTCTTTCTTTCTGATTTCTTTTTTTTCTTTAATATATCTTTTCCTCTACTTTAATTTTTTCTCTAAGATTTTTCTCTTTTTGTTTTTAACTTTTCTTTCACTACTTCTTTTTATGAATCTTTTTATTTATCTCTAAAATTTATCCTCAAAAAGTTTATTTATATCTCTCTAAACTTCTATTTTCATGTCTCTACATTAGGGATCACTAAAATTTCTGCAGGGTCGGGCCCCAAAATAGGAAATGCATGTCCCGACCCCATCTCCGACTCCATTTTTTAAATAATTAATATAAATTTATTACACTTTTTTTATTTTTTAAATTCTAAAAAATTAAAAACAACTATAAAACCGATAATTTTTCTCGATAACATCTCTCGAAACGAAAAACAATGTGGAGACGGGAATTAAAACTTTTCACAAGTACAAGAATGGGGAAGAACATTCTCACTCGCATCCACATCATTTCCATCTCTACTCTATATAGAATTTTATCTCTCTAATATGTATTTTAAATTTTCAAACTTTTTAAAAACAGAAAAATAAAAATGGTTACTAAACATTGTTACATTTTGTGTTTTCTAAAAACAAAAAATCAAACATATATGGTTCTTGTTTTCTAAAAATAGAAAACCAAAAACCAAAAACCAAACACTAAAATAAGAAAAAAAACAAAAACAAAAAATAGAAAGGGTTATCAAAGGTGCCTTTAAGCAATCATACAAACCCACATTTAAATACATCGCAGCCAAACAAAACTTAAGAAGACACACAAAATACACTAAAATTATTCCCAAATATATTCTATATATTATAAGAGTAGATCATATCTAAGTCTCCAACGCATAGAAGCATAGAACAAGCCCGAAAGCCATTATTTTTTAACATAGGGCTAAGTATTACATAAACATACATTATTTTCTTACTGATCATTAATTATTGTCCATTTCCATGAGGTGAGCATCAAGATCTTTGGAGACGTCAACACAAAACTCCAACAAGCTCTCATGGGATTCTGGAATTTTGTCATGTTGTTTCTCGTACTCCAAAGTCCAATGAACAACACTTCCCTTTTTCTTTGGAATGCATTGCATTGTAAACTTGAAGCTCTTGTAATGCTCCAAAATATCTCCATCTGTCACTTTGAAAGTTATCAAATTCTTCTCCTCATCAATTGCTTCGATTAACTCCTTCGCCACACATTCTTTCCCACCTACAAATTAATCCAACAGCAACTAAATATAGCTATATGTTTGATGCCCATGTCTATTACTCGAATTTACAGATACATCGATGGATATTTCGAAAAAAATTCATGGGTGTCACGAAAATATATTTAAATCATAAATTCTAATTCTAATTAAGCATGTATATCAGAATACTAAAAAAATAAATCATTTAACAGTAATAGGATGCATTTATTTTTGGGATGTAGACAATTATTAATATATTGTATTTTTAGTACAATATGTGGAGTGGAGAATCGAACTTACAATCTCTGGGTTAGAGGTATATGTCAATTAGCGTTGAGCTATGCTCGTTTTGACAATTATTAATACATATTATCGATAAATATATAAAAAAGAGAATGAAGGCGAGATAAGTTCTTTTTTTCTTTTTATAACATGATTTTTTAATGAAATGGTGCAACTTTCTAAAGTCAGAAAAACTGAAAGTATGTGTTGGTAGTAGAGAGAGAGAATAAAAGGTGCACAAAGAGTATCATGAATATCAACAAAATATTGGTAAAATATCGATGAAATACAGATAAAATACCAATAAAATATGGATAAATATCCATAAAATATTGACAAATAGCGATAAAATATTGTGGATATTCTCGTTTAATGAAAAATATCAATAGAATATTGATAAATATCGACAAAATATCAGCGATGTATCACCGATTTTCTATAAAAATGTATTTCTCTCCCCCTTTTAATTTTGTCGAACTCATGTTTTTATCGATATATAGTTTAACTTCTAGAATTGAATGATTATATGTTACATGGATTTAAAATATCGTTGATATTGATTATATGGTCAATATCATCGATATTTTACATCATTGTAAATATTTAATCATTCAATTCTAGAAATTAAGGGGCAAGCAAATTAGAGAAAAATTACAAAATCTTCAACGATATATATAAGCTTTGAATCAACAAAAATTAAGTAGAGGGCAAAATTTGGGAAGAAAAAAGAAAAACAAACCATGAAAGTAGGTCCAGTTAAGCACCGATCCAACTTTGCCCCATTCTCCTTCATGAAGCTCACAACCTCGTATGTGATGCTTAGGGTTCTTAGTGACATTGGGCATATGGTGAGGGCTTAAGTGTAATATTTCATGAAACTTTTTGGCTGGAGACTTGATTTGCACATCAGTCTCCAACTTCCCACAGAGATCCATGGTGTTGGGTTTGGGCGAAGATAAATAAATTGCACAAATTTTAAGCCAAGATAGGATAAATTTGCACTGCCAAATACATGTCTCTTCTTGCTCCTATTTATAGAGAGTATTTGCTCTCACATTGTGTAATAATGGATGTCATGTTGTATTATTGGTTTTAATAAGATTTTACATTTTTGGCCACTTTGAAATTTTGCAACTCTAGTAAGTAGGTAGATAATTATTATGCTATTATACTGTTTAATTATGTGAGTATGAGGTAAGTTCTCTTTAAAAATCCCTATCATTAAAAAAGGAAAGAAAGAAAGAAATGAGTGTGGTAGAGTTGATCATATTAATTTTTTGTGTTTATGATGGAACTTGATTGTGAAAGTTAAATTAGATAAGATTAAGCGGTTGTTTCATGAGATTAGTAGAGATATATATGTATGGTTCCAAGGAAAAAAAAGCCAAAGTGATTTCAATTTGGTCAAACAAGTTTCTAAAAGTTTCAGTTTCTTTTTTCTCTCCTTAAATCACTCAATATCAAAAGAAATGATGATATGGGAATTCTAAAGTGAGAATTTTCATGAGGTTGTCAATATCAATGGTTGCACACTACAAAAATTGTGGCTTTTAGTGGCGAAAATATTTCGTTGCTGAAAGACATTTCACGTCGTTGAAGTCTTTCAGCGACGAAATCGCTTTCGTTGCAAGTAACATTCTTGAAAAATGGCGAAATTATATAATAACAAAAAGTTTCGAGCCTAGTAAGTTTATCATATTCCAAGTCATATAAATAATTAATATCTTGATTGATATTCGATTTTAGTTTTCTGTTTGTAAAATTTGAGTTTAAAAAACATCATTATAACTTAGTTGTTATAAATATTTTCAAAATATATACCAAATTTTGAAAACAAGAAAGAAAAGAAAAAAAAAATTAGTTCTCAGAAAACTTATTTTTTTTTTTTGAAATTTGGCTAAAAATTCAAATATGTTTTCAAGATAGGAAAAAAACTTACTTCTCACCTACTTTTTGAATGAATGGTGTGATGTCTTCATTCGAAAAAAGCAAGTGAAAAATTTATCCATAAAATTGCAMAACCAAGCATAATTTTCAGAATCGAAAAAATAAAAATAAAATGGTTATAATCAAAGGAGACCTTTAATTTTTTTAATGCCTATTTCATCAAATTAGAAGCGTAGAGTACATCTTCAACTCAATTAATATATACCAAAAAATTTAACCTTACGTGTTAGTGTCACTTGATCAATTAATTTCTTTTTGACATTTTGTGATAACGAGGGCTTAACTTGAAAAAAATTAATATTAATATATAAATGATAAAATTGACCGCAGGAATTAAATGTGTTAAATTATTATTGAATCCAAAAGTTTAAAGCGATGGATTACTACAAATTTAATCTATTAACACTTTTAACACTCCTTTAGAAATTTGCAGGGTACTCAATAACTGGTTTATCACTATTAATCATCTACCTTCTATGTTTTACCCCTGCCTTGGAAACTTTCTTTGTTCCCTAGATTTGTTTTTGTGTTAATTGCAACAAAAAATTCATAAAATTTAAAGTTAAAGTTTCTTAGTTTTGGATTTGATAAGCCCTTAGGGATTTCAAAAATGGGTTTGATTCACCCAATGTAAATAAGATTTTTGTTGAGTTTGGATATATATCAAAGGGAGTAATACTGCTTTTTTCTTTTTAATTAATACTATAGTTATTTCTATATCTTCAGTAAGAGCATGAGAATAATTAAAATTAAATAAGTTACCTAATTATAGTTTGGAAAGGTACTTAGTACTAGCTAATTCAGACATAACTGAGTAGTTAAGACACATCTATGTTGAATTTGTTAAGACACATTTATTTTGAAACATTTCATTCAATTCCCACTCTGAGATAGACTCTTATGGTTTATGGGTAGTTGCTTGAGGAAAGCCAAAAGCAATAATTTTTTTAATACAATATGTGTGGGTCGGGGATCGAACTCAGAACCTCTTGATTGAAGATATATATATATTAACGTTGAGCTATGTTTATTTTGGCAGCAACAAATTTTATATTAGCTTCTTCGATCTTAATTTCAAATTTGTTGTTATCCATACATTAATGGCTACATGTATGTTTTAGTCCGTAATTTTTCAATGAAGTATCTCTGGTTTAAAAAGTTTCAATTTGGTCCATTTTTGTTTTAACAAATTCTCAATTACACAAATTTCTTTTTGAATGTTTAAATTGATTCACGGTAGTCTCTTGGGATGACACAGTGGTAAGGACACTGTTATATAGATCCACTAGTGTAAGTCAGTATTTTTTAGTATAATAGGTAGGGATAAGAGAATTCAAACTCACGACCTCTTGGTCAGAAACAATATTTGTCAATTACCGTTGAACTATTTTCATGTTGACAAAAAAAAAATGAAAAACACACAAATATTAGGTCTAAAACACATATAGTCATGTATATATTTATTGTCCATTCAGAAAATGGTCTTAGAATTAGGAATAAATTATTGAGCACTAACTCAAAATTATGAATTGATTTATGGATGAATAATCTAGCACATACCATCTATCATAATATTCATAGGACTTTTAGACATAATTTTATATCTTTTTATTTATATTTTTTAAATAAACCTATCAATTGTTCTACAATGTAAGAATCCATTATTGTGAAGAAAGCCCTCATAATTTCCGACCACATCTCAATTGTGGTATGGATTAGGTTAAATTATATGAATTTGGGTACAACATAGTTTTAATTTAGGGAAATTACAGTGGTTAGCAAAGTTTTTTTATATATATATATTTTTCAAAATATATCATCTATTTTTAAAATTTTCAAATGTAGTAAAAATCTTCAGTTATATCAGTAGTACATCAGGTACTCATATTAATAGTATATCAGAAACTCATATTAGTAGTTAGATGTATATCACATATTGCACAGAGACTCATCCCAGATGTATATCACATACATATTGCAAGTATATCAAACACTCATATCAATAATATATCAGATGTATGTCACATACATATCAGTAGTTAGATATATTATAGACATATCAAAGATGTATATCATTTAAATAAGGTTGTCATTTAAAATTGGACCTCCATTTTTTTTTAATTATGTATTTGAAAACACTAAATTGGTTGCTATTTTGCTAATTTTACTAAAATTTTTTGTAAGTAAATCATTTAAGTAAAATTGTCATTTTAAAATGGGATTCGGTAAAAAACGATGAACTAAAACAGCCATGATTTTAAAGGGTATGTTAAAGATCCCACGTTGAAAAGACTAGGGACTTTATAATGGTTTATAATCGACATTTGTTTTTTTCTTTATTGCAATTATTATAGTTTTCTCATCACTAATTTTTTAAAGTAATTTTGTTTATTACAATTAATTCAATTCAAAAATGTTTTTATCAGGTTTCATCTATATCTAATATATCAATAACAATAAGTATATATAATTAAAACAAGAATTATAATATTTTATATTTGTATATACTTCAGGTTAGATTTAAATTCATCAAAGTGAATATAGTTTATAATATAAATTTACAAGAGATAGAATTATATATTATTTAGTTTAATATATATATATATATATTATATATATACATCGAATATTAATTACATTTTACGACACATGCCCCTACTTTTTTTTTTGGATACCCACTTAATTAAAAAGGTATGTGAGAAACATACACAAAAAGATGAAGGCTAAATGAAAACACTCCAATTTAACGAAATTGTAGATATATCCTAATTACAAAAAGGGGAAGATTTCAAACACTAATAGGATGCAGAGACTTTGATATCTAATTCTCAAAGGTTAATGAAAGTTTTGGATTTATTCATAAACGAGCAGTTGTTCTTTCAAGCTAAACCTTCCATAAAATAGCTTCCACTACATTTCCGCAGAGAATATTTCTGCTACTATTTCATTTAGAGGCAAAGGCCTCTTTTAGAAATAGCTCGAATCGGATTGGGGAGAGACAGAAATATTAAAAGTTTTGAATAGATGATACTAAATATTTGAAGTATATGGACCATGGAGAAGCATGTGGTCCAAAGATTCCCTGAGAGCTTACATAAACAAAATGAAGGCTTAAAACTATTGAAAAATTGATGAGAATATATAAACAAGCCGTGATTAATCTATGGATTTTGTCTTTTAAATTTTAAGCTGAGATTAAAAAAGTTATTATCATCCCAATTCCCAAAAATGGAGAATGGGTGCTTCAATCCCCAATCTCAACCTCCCATTAAGTTGAAGAAGAAAAATATTATTGACTACTTTTTTCCAGACTTAATTTGAAGCATGCATCAAATAACTATATGAGTCAGACATTAATTTAAACAGCAATAAGCAATTAATTGTCAATGGCCATTCTTCTGCTTTCAATCCTGTCGGAGGCTATTTCTTGCATGCCACGTGTCAACATCTAAGAAGATGTACTCGCTGAAATCCGACAGAGTGACACAAGTCTTCTTAACTCGGCATAATATATCCGAGATGAGCTACTTCTCCGCTTCGGCCGACCTTTTATAGGTACGAGCTGACCTATTAATTATTTCCACAAGAAAAATAATCATGAAGTTGTTTTTCGATAACGTAACACGCCATATTTTACGGGTTGTCAGATGATCGTTAGAGTACTGTCAGAAGTCCTGTTGAAGTTCATCTCTATAAACAGAGATGCTTGCTTCCTGAACAAGGTACATGAATCTACCCCACTTTGAACATTAGATCGAATTGGAACTGACTTGCTCGTCGAAATGCTATAACCTTGTTTTGCAGGTCCTTCGGAGGCACTTCGGAGGTTAGCTGATGTGTTCCGATCTTAGTGGATTCCGAGCTTGATCGATTATTGGATCAAATAAATCCCAAAATAATTTTAGCTGACACAATAGTTAACCATAGAAATTTTATTCACATTCTCACATACAAGAGTAATATACATACACAATATTTTACACATATTTCTTCTCCAACTTAGGGATATATAGCATAGTATTATACAGACCCAAGCATAACATGTGCATATACACAGTACATGCATTATTATTTAAACATAGAATTAAAAGCATATAGTAAAACCCCAATCAATGTTCTTCAATCATGCCTGAGCAGCAACTTCCATCAGATGAGCATCGATATCTTTAGAGACAGCAGCAACAAACTCAAGCATGCTATGCGAATCTTTAATCTCACTGTGCAGTTTCTCGTATTCTAAAGTCCAATGAACAACACTTCCCTTTTCCTTTGGAACACATTGGATTGTAAGCTTGAAGCTCTTAAATTCCTCCAAAAGGTCCCCCTCAATCACTTTGAAAGTTATGGAATTTTTCTCTTCGTCAACTGCTTCCACTATCTCCTTTGCCACTGAATTCTTCCCATCTAAACGAGGAGTATTAATCAACGCCACCATATAAACAATACAAAAACCAAGACAATTCGAATAATTTAGAATAGAGAAAAAACCAAACCATGAAAGTAGTTCCAGCAGATGATAGAGCCAACTTTTCCCCATTCACCTTCGTGAAGATCCACGCCTTGTATTTTGTCGGTGGAGACATTGGAGATATGGTGAGGTCTTTGGTGAAATATTTCATGAAACTGTGAAGCTGAAGCTTTGATTGGTACATCCATCACCAACTTTCCACAGAGATCATTCATGATTTTTTGGTTTGTTGGAAGTACAAGTTATTAGGAATCTGTAAGCCAAGAAATATGAAATAATATATAAAGCATTGCCTTGAATGTCTCCTCTTGGACTTATTTATAGGGAGGGTTTACTCTCACATGGTGTAATAATGGATGCCATTGGGTGTGGTATTTTACATTTTTGTCCATTTTACATTTTTGTCCATTAATAATTTTCCAATTATAACTTTAGGTATAGGCAAATAATTATAATACTATAATACTATTAAATTATGTGATCAAATAATTTCTTTTATATTATTTAGTATTAAGGATAAATGATGCGTATGTACCTACTACTATATTCTGATGGACGATTGCTTGTGGTATTACCATTTTTGTTATACCATTCATTCAAGAAGTATGTGAGAAACATTGAAAGATAAGAAAAATAAATAAAAACACTCTAATATACAGAGACGATGATATGCACTCTAATATACAAAGATGATGATATTTCATAATTAAAAAAAAATGGTCGATTTGGACGACCAAAAAGAAACAGTTGTTTTGATGTATTCCCAAAGATGAGCTACTAATCTAGAGGCTTATGTTGAAGAGTCAAAGTATTGAAAAATTTATTGAGAAGTATGAGGAATATTTTTCCAGAAAAAAATAAAGAAAGTGTGAGATATCAGGTACACAAATTGAAAAGTTAAGGACCTAACAAGGATTTATAATAGACTTAGATTACTCCTCTCTTAGCCAATTAGTTTTGAGATGGAACCCATTAATATTAATATGGTTTCAAAGTCCAAAACGTTCAAACAAGCATCTGGTTAAAAAATAGGATCCAGTCAAAATTGATGAGCCAAAAGAGCCAAGATCTTGAGAGGACATGTGGAGGTGTAGATTCAAACCTTTAATCTTTTTCGTCAATAATATATATTGTCTTACTAAGTTGAGCTATGTTCAGGTTGGTCATAATATTTTATTTATTATTATTTTTTTTTTGTTTTAGCGACGAAATCAATGAGAAATTGAGGATATATCATAAATAATCTATAACCCATAATATAATAGAATAGGTTTTACACTATTATTCAATCCTTCTATTTTCTAGAGCTCTCTCCTAAACTTTCCAAAAGTTTAGTTGATAAATGTCAAAACTCCATTTTTCTTTTTTTATTTTTCGGAATAGGTGTTTCTATATTAAGAAAGTAACAAAGGTTTATATGTAGGGCAAATAATTATAAGTTCATAAAATAACTAATTTTTCATAATAATTATAACTTTTATCATGTTTGGAATTTGGATATCAGTATATAATTGATTTATGAGATAATATATAAAAGTTATTATAGTCCACGACACCCTCTAAACACTACTTAAACTTTTTATGTTTCATGTAATAAGAAAATTTATGAGATGTACGTTTTTTTAAGTAAAAAAAATTATAAGAGGTAGTACGAAATATTTTGAATGACACTAAAATCAAAATCACGAAGGTTTATATTTAAAGTGGACAATATAAATATGGAAGATTCACGGTCTTCAATAAAATATAAATAGTTAATAGAGAGCAAAGCTGAGGTTTTTGTTTCCACGGTAAACGTGTAACAAAAAACTCCATAAATTATCAAAATCAATTTCTTTAATCTTCCAGTCGAATTTATAAGGTTGACAAATTAATACAATGACATAATGGTTTTAGAACTAGGCTTAAATTATTTTGATTTATAGATGAATAAATTTAACATACACTAGCCATCATAATTTACCAACGACTTTTATACATAATTGTGTAAGTCTTTTTTATTTACTTTCTTTTAGATAAACATACCAAATTGTTTGAATAATAATCCGCAATTATCAACAATGTGATCACCTTAATCAATTTGGATCACACTCTCAAATTATGCTATCACTAAAAAGAAAATAATAAGAACAAAAGAAAGAAAAAAAAAAGAATAGATGTCTACTTCCATTGGAAAATTTAGGTGGGTKCTAAATTTTGGTACTCATTTTAAAAAATGGCCATTAATTTTTAATTTTGCAAAAATGAATAAATGRTATTTTAGGAGTTTTACAAAATAGAGTGATTTTCCAACGCCATTTTCTATGTTTTATATGATTTTCCTTATATTCAACCACCTAACAAATTTTGTTTTGAATTAAAATTGTGTTTCCTACCTTCAAGGAATTTTAAGTTAATTATTTTAATTCTTTTGTTTTGAATTTCGTTAATTTAAACGATTTGTCATTGTTTTACGGTCTCCCATCTCATCATTCTATTGTATCTTCTTCTGCTAAGCTCCCTCTTCTCTCTTTGCAACAATGGATTGTATAGTAATCACAATTCTATATGGTCGTGGGATAAAAAAAATGTGTAGGACTCTACGTTGTCCCACCTTATCGAAGGTATTATGAAGAATATTCATTTAATAGACGGGAAAAAAGTTGCATCCATATCGTTGGTCAAGAATGATAGTCACAAGTCTCTTATTATTAGACTAGTTGAAGATTGAGATGTCACATGGTTTTTAACTGTTTTGTCGAATGAGTTGGGGATAGAGTACTGCATYGTCGTTTATACTATGGATACCCATATTAACTCCATTGGTGGGAGTGGGACACCATTGCAGACGAGTGTAAATATCACCATTTACCCTAGTTATGAGACTGCGACACAAGTGCAGTCTACATAGCATTGTTGATACGAACCAGCGAGCATACCATCAAACTCCATTGAAGATACAAACTTGATGATGGTGTTAATTTCGTTTATTTTAATTTTAGCTAGGGGCTTAGCTAATTAGGTCTTAGTTTCTTTATTTTGGACCAAGTATTGGCCTTAATACTTATTTAATTATTTTTAGTCAGTTATTTTATTTATTTATTTATTTTTAGCAAAATAAATCAGGATTTTAGTATTTGATGCCACCAAGGTTATTTTTATCGGTAAGACATATATAAGCTTATCATTTAGGTTGTAAGGGACAATTTTAGCTTTTAATTTAATGGAATTTTAGTCTTTGAGCCATTTCTTTCAGCAATCAAGAGCGCTTGAATTTTGCAATTCTTGATCTAGGTTGCAAACTTGGAACATTCAAGATGGGTTTGATCAACCTCTCTTGCGGAGTGTTCAACCTCGAGTAGGGAACTAGTTCTCCTTGTCTCGTGGTCTTCGATCAACAAGGTAACTTTCATCTAATCTTCCTTGGGATTGTGCTAAATTGATTTTGGGGGTTTTAGTGTTTGTGAATTAGGGGTTCATATACCCAAAGGCTTCCTAATTCCAATTCGCTAAAGTTTTCTTATCATTTGTTGTAGATACTCCCATTGACCCCATGACTTGAAGTGGGACATAAGTACATACTAAATCTCACCATAAATGGAAGGAACTCATAATAATGGACCCAAGTCAAATTCATGATTTCCCATCCAACTTTGTAATGAAAAAGATTGTGCTCTTCTAAGCAAGGAAGAATTGAAGAAGTAAGTTTACTCCGTAGCCTTAAAAGGTAGTTTTTAGTTCAAAACAGTAAAATCCAACAATAAACGRTTGGTATTAAAGTGCCTTGATGAATCATCCAATTAATACCTCCGCTCATCTCGTTACCAAGATAGTAAACTATGGATTATTAGGAAATTTGTAGAGGAACATAATTGTTCTATTGATGCAGCTGTAAAGAATGATCATATGTAGGCGACCTCAATGATGGTAAGTGAGTGTGCGAATACAATCATGGACATGAAAAGGAGTTGTAGTCCTTGGGACATTATTAATTACATTCGAAAGAACCATGAGATTAATATTAGTTATTACAAAGCTTGGAGAGGAGGAGAGAAGGCGCGTTATAATCAGTTATGGGGTCACCCGAAGATTCGTACGCGCTCATTTCGTCATTCACATCGAAGTTGATTGAGAAGAATCCAAGTAATATATATATATATATATATATATATATATATATATATATATATATATATATATTGATACTATAGTTGTGTTGTATATGTGTATGTTTATCAAACGTTATCATGCAGGAACTTGGATATCTTACAATTATCTTCAAATTAGTTACAACTATCTCCTTTAGTTAATACWCTAATTCAAACTAGTTAATAGTTAGAACTAAATGATTCTAACTAGTTCTATATTTTATCCAATATACCTAACTCGACTMAGTATAAGGAATCAAACTCACCATAAGATATATTCTCATATATACAATAGTTCACACCTAAATTTTTCACCACTRAAATCATAACTGTGTACAAAAACAACCATTGAAGATATATGGGTATGGAAGGGGTTTCGAACCRGTTTAACAGTACAAAAAAAAAATCAGGGTTTTCAACATTGTTCAAATCTAAAATCGAAAACTATAAGGATATATTGAAATGCAAAATATATCGAAGTTTATATGGTGAGACAAAACAAATCTTCTAGTCGGCGACTAGACAATGACCCGGATAAACGRAGACGAAGGATACAGAAGACGGYCGGAGACGAAGGAACGGACGAAAATGGAACGACAAAGGAGAAGAAAAGTCGGAGGAAAGAGGTTTTTGAATTTTTTCAATAATGGAGGATTTTGGAGATTTGGTTAGTATTTTGGAAATTTGGTATTTTTTACTTTTGGAATGTATAATTAGGCAAAATTTAAGGGATTTAAATTGTAACTCCAAAGTAACCAATTTTGGATTTTAAAAATTAATTAATATTGAGGTGTAGATACAGAAGGATATACTAGTAATTTGGGTGATGGGTACCATTTAAATAGGTTGTTTCATGAAAAAAGTGTAAATTTTATACCTTCAATCCTTTCATGTAATTATAGTATCTAAATATTAATTAATTTAATAAATAGTCCCACTTTATAATTACTAAGTTGAAAGATGGGAAAKGCCTAGCTTATGTTTTTGTAGCATTTGAGAATACATTTTCTAACAAATTTTGTGCATTGAAAAGATGAGCGACCTAATAAAGGTTTATAAGAGATATGAGCTACCATTTTTATAGTCGTTTGATTTTGAGTTRGAACTCCATAAATATTGATATAGTATCAGAGTCCAAACGTTCAAACGAGCATCCGACCAAGATCAATGAGCCATGAATAGGCACGCTAAGGCGAGGATGAGAATTTCTTAAGAATTTTGTAGTATTTGAGAATAYATTTTCTGAACAAGTTTTGTTTTATCTTTTACAAGGTACCCTAAACACTTCGGGTATGGAGACACTGTGCATACCCCGAGGTATAGGGACAAAAAGGTCAAAGGACCGTCGACTCCTGGRTAATAAAAAAAATACGCAAAAGGCTTAATTTGTCCACCAATTATTGTCTTTTCCCATAGAAGGAAAGAAAACYATTATTTTTCTTGAACTGTCAAATCTAACCTCAAAATTTTAGTTTCATGAACTAAATTAACTTAAATTTGAAATTCTTTTGGTGGACCAAAACCAAATATATATTGCACAAAATTCGGACCAACAAGAGACACCTAAAATTAAGCTAAAAATGTCTATATACTAAGAGGAAAAAAAAATCTATTCAACCATAAAATCGGGCAAATAAGAAAYGTGTCCAAGCTGATCAACCATGGCAGAGGGTTGACACCCCTGCACCAAAATAGCAATATGCCCTTGAGAGACTCGCTAGACATGTCGTCGCGTCCGGTGGTAGATTTAGAAATTTTATGAAAGTAGCTTCATTTAAAATTCAATAAATATGTCGAATATTACAATTATAAATTGAATCCAAAATTTTATGTTAGGGAGACTATAAAAATAATTTGAACACATTAGTACGAATTTAGTTTATAAAAAATTTGAACACATTAATATGCTCAGAGTGGGCGCAGCAGCATCTTGAGCAATCCTTGRGAGGTATCACAATTCGGACATAGGGTGTTAGTGCGCTGGCTGCCTGGCTATCTCTCATAAAGCCAGTCCAGGTGCGCTCGACCCCTTGAATTGGTGGGCTTTAGGTTTTGGCTCGGTGAGCTCCAATTTGAACCTAATGTGCTCACTTCTCGTTAGCCAAGTCTACATGGATCTATTGGAGTTTGGACGCGTGTCGCTTTAGATTTATCCGATAGCAACTGTTAAAACTAGTTCTTATATGGATTAATCTATGACAATTTTGAAGTTTCTGTCTATGTTGTGAAATTAGCCCTATGTCATGACAATATGACAGCTACTACAACCCTATTTAACTCCAAATGTTATGTTATGGAGGTGAATGAATTCCAGGAAGATTGCAAATGAATCACCAGCCTTTCCTTAACTATTGTCTAATCAAAATTAGAGCATAAATAAAGGAAAGCAAGGTAGTGAGCTGCAGCATTAAACATCTTTCCTAAACGAATACTTTCCTTACTTATGGTAGCCGATGTCGAACAATTAATACCACTATACTGCCTTGATCATCCCAATCAGCAACACCAACCAACTCAGCAGAATAGGTCCAGCACAGCAATACAAACTCACCAAAATTCATAATAACAGCAACGGCTCTTTTTACAACTTGTCACAGCCATTCTCCCTCTGGCTGATCTATTATAGTAAATTCTCCTTATTCTCATTTCCGAATTATTCATTTATGTCATTATAGCTAGTATTAGCTCTTCCCTTGTATAGGCATCTGATGTAGCTACCCATTGTAGTCTTCTGTGCCTTTATATTTCAAGATTTGTATGATTGTAAATTTCAAGCAATTAAGTAACGATTTCTTACATTCTCTTGGATTGTACTCAGAATTCTTCAGCCATATATATTATTTTATGGTATCATAGTCCAACAAGCTCAAACGAGCACATGGTCTGAAAATGAAATCCAGTCCAAGATTGGTGAACCCAAAAGAGACACCATCTTGAGGAGGCATGTTAAGAATCACGTGTTGATAAAAGAAGGGAATTAKGTTTATAATGCACATGAACTACTTCTCTCATTACCAATTGGTTATGAAATGGAACTCCACAAATATTAATAGCGGATAATGAGAGTATAAGAAGAATGCTTACCTTCCATAGCAAACCAAAATTATAGCTATCTTTCAYTTGCCGTTAGCTTACTGCTTTTATTTTTTCTGCCATCCTTCGTGTGTAAGTAATATATATTGCAAGTCTGTGTAACTTTTGGAATTCAAGCAAAGAAAGTGAATTTTCACAAAATTGTGATTTGAATTCTTTTATATGTCATTGTCATGAATTGTTTTCATAATAGTTTTAACCTGTCATTGACAACTTTTATGTGAACATTGCCTCAGTAATTTACGTTATTTCAATCTTATTACTTTTAAATAATTAGTATAACTATCGAACTGAAAATGGTAGTAGGTGGCTTATTCCACTCTGCTTGAATTGGCTCTTTCCATTTCATTACAAACATGAATTATTGAAGCTAATTAATACTCCATATCCCCCAAATTATTTGGAAGAGRCCACCACAATGTGGCTGATACTTTTACACCGTTAAATTTATGATAGAGAAATTGCAAAAACGCCTCTAATCTATATTAGTAATTATTAGGGAGCATCTAAATTTTCAAATCTACCTCTAATGATCCTAGAGAATGTTGAGAATGTCAAAAGGGAAAAATATTTTACAAAACAAAAATGTTTTTGGATGTCCCACATGGATAGTTTTTGAAATGGGAAATTAGCTTTTAATGGGAGACCTCTTATTGGGCTTACAAAGTTGTTTGGGGTAAGCTCAAGAGATATCTCTARGTATACRTGTTAGTACCTTTAAGATTAAAGCAAACTAGTATAATCGTTCCTATAGTKTTAATTTTTTCTATCTCTATCTCTCATCCCTTATATTATATTTACTTAAAGTTATCTGTTTTTAGTCTATGAAAACAAAAATCAAATAACTTCTATTTGAAGAATATTTTTTCCCACAATATGAAACCAAGGAAATCTGGCATTTCCAAAGGTTATCAGGATCATTATAGAATCTCTATACATTTGGTATGCAAAGCCCAATGCCAAGTAGTGTCCTTCGTACTTTGGAAGAGTGGCCACATCCCAGTGAATAAGATGGGAGCTAATTGAAGCTTCGCTGCTAGCTCGAAGGAAACTCCCTAAGAGCCTTTCCCTTTAGTAATTTTACTGGATACTTTAATAACTTCTATTTGATAGTTGCAGAGAACGCGAAATGGGTTAATGTTAATCTACCCCCTTTAGATGTTAAGTACAACTGTATCCCAAATATCTCCGTAACGTAATAATATGATATTGTTTGTTTTGGACATAATTTTAATGACTTTGCTTTTTTGGTTTCACCTAAAAAATCTCATACAAATGGAGATAATTGTCTTCGTATATATAGCATGAATCGCTCTCTTTCCGTAACTAGAAATACAAGACTTTTTTTCAACTATCAAGCTTCCTCTCTGTGCTTGCGAGATTAGGCTCCTAGAAGATCTTGATTTTACCCTTTATTATTTCATCTACTATTACAATTTGTCATTAAAATCAAAAGTGTACAAGACCGTTTTATAATATTTTTCATAAGTCGATACGTGYATAGCTCAATGATTAAAATATCTACTCATTCCTTAGGTTAGAGATTTAAAATCCCCACTTCACCATTGATTGTACCAGCAAATGTATTTTTCATAGAAAAATAAATTTCATTTGTCATGCCTGAGCAGCAATTTGAAGATTTGCATCAACTTCCATATAAAGGTGAGCATATAGGTGTCTTYAGAAATTTCAGCAACAAGGTGAAGCAAGGCATGTGAATCTGGAATATCATGTTCTAAACTTCAATGAACAACACTCCCATTAACCTTAGGAATAAATTGGAATATAAACTTGAAGCTCTTATATTCCTCTAAAAGGTCCCCCTCGGCCATCACTTTGAAAGTGATCGAATTTTTCTCTTCATCAACAGCTTCGATTATCTCCTTTTCCATTGAAGGCTTCCCCAGCTACAAGAGTTTAAATGAATGTGTTCAATAATCATTTGATTTAAAAGGGAAGTTGAGAGAGGTAAATTAAGAATAATGGAAGTAGTTCCACCGCATGATAGGACGAACTTGACCCATTCACCTTCGTGGCTTTCAAAGATCAAGATTGCATTATTTATGACCCTCAACTCAAAAACTTTGATGAATTGGGTAAATTTAATTTATATATGGGGATTCTCAATACCACGTTTTGGGAATTCCTATGATTGGCCGAAAGTGGCGCATGGAATCTAGGTTTCAAGAAAATCTCAAAAGATGCTGAATTTCAGAATCGTCTTTTTCAATTGACAGTAATTCAGGATAAGGATTTGGAATATATAAAAGAATGGCATATTCTCCCCGCAAGCTTTCTCTTTCGAATTTAAAAAAATTTATAAATGAAGAAACAGAAACATGAATGTTATCAAACGAACCCTTATATTTCCAATATTATATATTGATATATATCGAAATTCATAATCTATTACACATCGAGTCTCCAACTCATATATAAAAGCATGGAACAAGCCCAAAGCCATTATTTTTAAACATAGGACTAAGTATTACATAAACATATGTTATTTTGATCTTAGTGATGATTAATTATTTTCCATTTTCATGAGGTGAGCATCAAGATCTTTGGAGACGTCAACACAAAACTCCAACAAGCTCTCATGGGATTCTGGAATTTTGTCATGTTGTTTCTCGTACTCCAAAGTCCAATGAACAACACTTCCCTTTTTCTTTGGAATGCATTGCATTGTAAACTTGAAGCTCTTGTAATGCTCCGAGATATCTCCATCTATCACTTTGAAAGTGATCAAATTCTTCTCCTCATCAATGGCTTCGATTAACTCCTTCACCACACATGCTTTCCCACCTACAAATTAATCCATCGACAATTAATACTAATCATACCTCAGGATCGGAGTCAGAAATTTTCTTAGGGTCCGTTTAGTAACCTTCATGTTTCTTGTTTCTGTTTCTTCATTTTTAATAAAGAAAAATGAATTTTATGAATGCAACATCCATAAATTCAAGTATGATAAAACAATCTTTTTATTTATTGTTGGGAAAAAAATATAGATAAATCAATCATCGTCTAAGTTCTTCAAACAGGAACCATTTGATTTTTCCTTTCCACAGGCTAAACACAGATAAGTAAGTAATAATAATAAAGGAATAAGAGATAGGGATAGAAAAGTTTAACACCATAGGGATTATACTGGTTCACCCCTATCTTGGGGCTACGTCCAATCTTTTGCGAAAAAACAGGTTAAACTATAGTTGGAAATATTACAATGGAGATCTCACTCAAGATATTACTATCTTGCTTCTAAGCACTCTTACAATGGCTACCTAGGATTACACAATGGGAAATACCCTCACTAAACCCACGAGATACAAACTCCTTTTTCACACATTGCGTGCCCACAATCACTCAAGTCTCTCTTATTTGGATTCTCTACCAATGAAACCTTAACAAAAGGGTTCTATTTATAAAAGGTCAAATATCTCATTCCTTATAAGGAATCCAATATTATAATCCTTATAAGACAATAATATCCTACTCCTTGTAGGAATTGGTAGTAATGTTGAAAAAATTTTTCCTCATAGGACACGAGTCATCTGTTTTGGCTCCATTATCCCAACAATCTCCCACTTGGAGATAAAACATCGATCTTGCCTCCCACTGCAATAATAGTCTCTGATAATCTTGGAAAACTCCAAGGCTTCTACTGCAACAACTTCTGATCTTCTTGAAAAAATCTTCAAGGCTTCTCCAGCAAGTTTAAAAACTTGTAAAACAAACTATCAGAAATCACTGGTCTTATCTGTCTTTGCCTTAAAATCGAGCAATCTACGTGGTCTTGTCTCCCAAATGCAAGAGACACATCACGTGCTCCCACTTAAACTAAGTGGCGATATCTGAAGCTTTCTTCTTCGTTCTGAAACATTGATTCTTGAAGAAAGAACTTCCCACTGTTGACTTGACAACTGTATTCAAGTCTACTGCCAGAATTGAAACTCCATTATTTACCTCAGTACCTACTGGATTCATCTTCTCTGATGCAACTGTTTGCTGACGCGACTTCATCAATTCACCCATCCGTCTGACAATTGGGGATAATCTCTGACAGCCTAAAGAACATGTTCTCGTTCTTTGACTTCTTAATTGTTGTTCATGAATTGATGGCAGATTCTCCTGATCTGTTTTGGTTGTCTTTGTTGCTTGCTCAGTCCTACCTCTTCGGACACCATCTGCAACTTGCATCCACCGTTTCAATGATCCTCTGGCAATGCTCAATTGCGACGTGTAAATTGTATATCTTCTATGGCCAATTGCCACCAACTTGGATCTTTTGGTGAGCTTTCACTGGTTCCCACCAAACTTACTTTGATAATCATCATCGTCCAACTTACCTGTAGAGATAAGGTTCATTCTGATACTGGGTACATACCTGACATCTCGCAGTAATAACTCAGTCCCACTATTGGTCTTCAATCATATATTTCCAATCACTTTAGTCTAGGTAAGTCTTCCATTCCCCATCCCCACGTGGCCGCGATTGCCTCTTCTGAAAGATATGAATAATCTTCTATTTAAAGATATATGTACTAAAGCTGTACTGTTTATTACCCATTCTGATGACTGGTTTCCTGTTTTTGTGTTGCTTTCAATACAAACGAGGGCATCGTCTACAACTGCATTTCACTCTGTCATATACCTTTTCAGATCCTACAATTTTTCTTGATGTTGCCTTTTCTGTGGCAATAAACACATTCAGAATCTCTCTTTCAATCCCTCCTACTATGCTTCTGCTACCTGTCATCAGACGCAACCTTCTCTTTACCTTTTTCGACAGCCAATGCTGAACCTTGTAAAGAAGTATATTCTTTTCCACTCCTCTTTCTGCGAATTTCTTCAGCAATTGCCGCATCACAAATTTCTGAAAATTTCAAAGATTTGTCTCCTAACGAATTTGACACTGCTGTCTTCATCGTTTCCCAACTTTCAGGTAAAGATGTTAGCAACTAAATAGCATTCACTTCATCACTAAAAGTAATTTTAAATGATGTCAATTGATTGATTAATTTTGTGACCTTATTTATATGGGAATTGACAAAAGTATTCTCTTCAATTTGGGAAGTATTAATATGGGAAGTATTCTCTTCCAACTAGTCAAACGTTTACTCAAGCACACAAACACATGGAGCACATCACAAATTCTGAAAAACTTTTCTAACACGAGAGTTTATATTCTACTAATCCAACATGCTCAAGAATTTCTTATGGACCTATAAACCTCGAGTTCTGCTTTTCCTTTTCTATCAAAACTCAATACATCCTTCCAAGGTGACTATCAAGTAAAACATTCTCATTATCATATCTTCGATATCTTCCTAACACTTAACAGTATACACCTTATCGTTCATTTGCCATTTTCAACTTTCCTTATCTTTACTTTTTTTTTCATACCAACTATACACAAGTTCTTAACCCCATTAGCTTTCTTTCTTCAAATTTACTTCAACATAACAAAGTTCAACACTTTCTTTTTCATACCGATCTACTAATAACGCCCCTTCAATGCTTGATACCTCCCAAGCATTTCTGATGCTTATCAACATAACTTTTTTTTCTTTTATCTTATACCAATCTCAACTTTCCGTAGTTATTTTCACATTTTTCCCAATAACAGCACAACTTCAGGCTTTAATAACTTTTCTTCCACACATTCTTTACAACAAATTGATATCCAATATTCCTCTCTTTATACTGACCTCTACATAATATTGTTTCAATACTTATATCCTTTTATGTTCTTTACTAAAACTTCACCATTTAACACTATATACTCTCTTCACTAATCACTTTTACTTCTTTCTTCATCTTAACCAGCGTTGCAAACCCAAATTGAGCTTCTACAATTCTATCACTGAAAATAAATCTTATATGGAACTGGCCAATAAAACTCTATAATCAATAACTTTTACTTCTGCATTCAAACCATTTAATCCACCCAATAGAGACAAACCAATTTTACAAGGCAGAACTTCTAAAAAACTATGCTTCTTACTTAGAGCACCAATACAAAAATGACTTTTTCTCAACAAACACACCTCTTATCAATTAACTTTTATAGCTCTACTCTTATTTCTCTTACCTTCTTGGAGTCATAGCCATAAAACTGCTCTTATTCAACATCTATCTCAACCTCATGGTCTCTTTTCTGATAACTGGTCTTACTAATTTCTTTCTCTTCCTTTATATTTTGCCTCTCATTAGTACCCTGAGTTTCAAATTCTTAAAACATACACATTCTGCCACCATGATGCATGACTTTCTATATGATGCAATGCATATTACACATTCTTTAAACAACTGTCATACATATACTTCTCATCTAATTCAGGATCTTTATTCTCTGATACCAAACTGACATGATCTGTCCCAAAACACCTACTGGTCCTAAAACGAGTTGCACCGACCACGGACCCCGACTAACTAAGAAGTCAATTGTCAACTTCTTCTTATCTTTGACCTGAACTTTGATTAACCAAACTCTGAATGGATGCACGGTAACTCAATAATAACTTTTACAAAACCATCAAACTGACATCCATTATCAACATTCTCTCCTATCAAAAGGGTCATAACAGTTTTACAACAATTACATGTACGTACAGAGTGATATGCAAATTCTCAACTACCCTGGGTGGTAGAAGTTGTTCTTCTTGAAACTCAGAAACTCAGATACTCAGGTACAACATGGGGGGGAAAACAAAACATAAACGGTGAGCTAGGAAGCTCAGTGAGTGGTAAGTTAAATAGAAAATAATTTCGTCAACTTTCTTTAAAAAACAATTGAAAATTCAGTTCTTGAAATAAACTTCATAAAACTGAAGTAACAAACTTTCTGATTTAAATCTCATAAAACCTGTAACAACAATTTCTTTCTAGGCAAACTGAAAAGACAACGCTCCCAAGTCCAAGATTCGGAATCCAGATTGGCCCTAATCGCCCTAGCATTCCCCTACGACCTAGTTACGCCAATTTCTCAACCTGCTCTAAAACACATTCTAAATCATATAAAACATTCCTCTTCAATCATAAAACAGATAAATAAAACTCAACATCACACATGTATTCATATTCTATTCTGATCTACAAGTGTAGAATAATCTCAATACACACAGCAGAATAATTCTAGTCTACTAGCATAGAGTAATCTCAATACACACAGCAGAATAATTCTGGTCTACTAGCATAGAGTAATCTCAATAGGCATAGCAGAATAATTCTCTCAACGTGCGGAGTAAAATGGTCCAAAGACCTTCTATTTTTGGATATACTATAGAAACACATTCATATAGCATACGGATAATCACCTCGATAAAATAACATGGTGGTTTGAAAACTTATTTCTGTATAAAATTCTCAATCTCATGAATAGTTCTAAAATTCTACTATTATTCTTTTTAAAAACATTTCTTTCTCAAATCACTTCTAAATATAATTCTTTCTTAACACATTTTCTTAAATTCTAATATCATTTTTGAAATCTCTTTCTAAATAGCATTCATAAGCTTTAAACATTTCTTTAAAATCATAAAGCATTTTTAAATTCTCATAAACATTTGTAAATTCTCAAAATAAACATATTTTCTTTCATTCTCAGTAGAAATGCTAAATCATACATAATATATATAATTTCTCAGAAATTCTATAATCAATATCTAAAACCATCTAATAAAATAATCACCCACAAATTCCAATAAAGTAACCACTCACAAATCCTTAGATGGAGTCGTACGCTGTTCCAATTTCCGCTTGCCTGAAATATCGATTCAATACCAAATTATTTCACTTAATTCCAACATAAACTAATTCTCAACTTTAATCACGATATATTCAAACAAAACAAATTATCCAATTTCCCCATTTTCTCTCTTCATTAAAAACCCACTATTCCTCGTTCTTACAACCGTACAAGTGGGACCCATATCCCACAATCAATTTCTCTTTCTACACCAATTTCTCACGTGAATAGCCCATTTCTCCAACATTTTCTTTTTATTTTTTTTATTTAATTTAAAACCACACATTCTCTCCCCTCTACTATTCATCATCTTCTTCTTTAACCCTCTCATCATCTTCTTCTTCATCCCACAGATTTTCTTCTTTTCTTCCTCCCTCCTTCTCTGTTTTCTTTCTTTTTATTCCACTACTCTATTTTCAGTACCAATTTCTTTACTGTTGTACAACCATTAACGCATCCCAGAGAAATCTCAAACATACTCATCTTTTCTTCCATTTCCCAACAGTTTTTGGTTCAAACTCTTACATAAAACCCATCAACAACCATTATCTTACCTGTAAAATCGAAAAGTCTATTTCCTTTTAACTCTTCCACAAGGGTTCTTGAACAAATCATAATAACAACCCACAAATTCACAATTTCAACAGATTTCTTTAAGAAGAACACCCATAAAAACGTTCCCTTTTCACGTCCAATTTTTCCTCCACATTTCCACAAATTCCTTAATCACAAACAAATATTACTTGCCAAGTTTGAAACCCCATAACTTAACCATGTACCACGTTGAATTCCCTCCTCATTTCAAGCTTCAGTTTCTTCATCTTCCCCCTGTTTTCAAAACCTTCTTCCACCTTTTTTTTCCTTAATTTTCTTTTCTTTTCGGTTCTTTTCTTTCCCTATTTCTTTTCTTTCCATTTCTTTCTTTTCTTTTCTTTCACTATTAACACATGTCACACGCACACTAAAAAAAACACAGGTGTCTTCTAACCTCTTTTTCTCTTTTTTTTTTTTCTAATAAAAGCCAAATGATCAATCTACCCTTCGAACTTTTAACTACAACAAAAATTTCAATTTTCTCTTTCTTTCTGTTTTTTCTTTCTTCTCTCTTTCTGTATACTAAATGACGATCATGTCCTTACACTCTCAAACAGAAGCCATGAATCTTGATAAAAGTTTATTAGTTTTGGAATTTGATAAGTATCAATATTATTCATGTCCCAACTGTAGCGAACTGACTTAAATTGCCTAGGGATATAACTACATGCATTACTTTCTTTCTTTTTTTGTTGGATATTTCTAGAAATTGTTATAAAATAAAAAATTCGTAAGAAAATATTAAAATTAACAAATGAGCAAAGGGCATTTTACCATTTCTAAATAAGTTAAAAAAAGTGATTATTATTAATATTATGTCATTATTAGTGTTATTTTATTGATATTTTTTATATTTTGTCGATTTTTTTACAATATTATGGAAATGTCGTTTTACTTCTCACATTAATATCGAACCTATGGACACATGAAAATATCGACATGTCGACGGATATTTAATATCTTAGTTTGGGATATCAAAGRAATAATACTACTCTTTTTTAGTAAAGTGAATAGTACGAGAACATGAGAACTAATAACTAATATTATAAATAAGTTATATAATTATTGTTTTTTGCAGATCATGTAATAAACACTCCTCAATTTAAACTTACTTAATGAATAAGATACTTATTATGTATATATTTTTGTTATCGGTATATTAACCGTTAAATATATATTTTACTCCTAAATTATGTTGGTGTGTTTTTTCAACTAAGTCTCTATTGTTTAAAAGGTTTCAATTTTGTACTCAAAAAAAGGTTTCAATTTAATCTATTTATATTTTGAAATTTTGTGGTCAAATGTTCAAATTGATTTATGATAAGCTCCCATGATTTACAAAATTCAAAATGGAAAATTAACCCACCCTAAAAGGAGTGTCAATTTCTTCGAATAACGAATTAAAAATTTTCATCTCGCAGATGATTTTGTTAGTTTAAATCAAATCTGTAGGACTCAAATTAAGATGAACCGTTATAATAACAACTTTCAATTTTGTATCTAATAAGTATCTCACTTTAAATTTAAAAATTAAGTGTCTAATATWAAACCATCTTTTTAAATGCGAATCCGAGTRATCTTTCC